CATGAGCCAGAAAGAAACTGTTATTTATTGCTCTACGCTCATTGAATTGTTTGATAGCCTACCTGTTCTCAGCTTCTATTAAAATTCTCTATGGTTGACATTAGTCTGTTATTCAATCACTGTTTTGCCATAGTCAGTCAATCAAAAAGGACTGTACTAAGGGCTTCCCTGGTGGCGCAGTGGTTGAGAATCCACCTGCCGATGCAGGGGGCACGGGTTCATGCCCTGGACCAGGAAGATCCCACGTGCCGCGGAGCAGCTGGGCCTGTGAGCCATGCCCGCTGGGCCTGAGCGTCCGGAGCCTGTGCTCCTTAACGGAAGAGGCCACAGCAGTGAGAGGCCCGTGTACCACAAAAAAAAAAAAAAAAAAAAAAAAGGACTGTACTACCTCAACAATACTAAGAGTACTAACTGTACTGTCATTTACCCCATATTTATCATATCCACATGAATATAAGATAATTTTTGGTAGATGGTATGGTGAAATTTAGATAAATGATGAGTGATGCTGACATCATAGAATAAGTTGGGATGTATTCCCTTATCTTTGATTTTCTGAAAGGGTTTATGTAGAATTGGTATTAGTTCTCCCTTAAATGCTCAGGAGAATTCACTATGGAAGTCAATGGGCCTGAGGTTTGCTTTGTGGGAAGATTTTTAACTACAAATTCAATTTCTTTAATAGACCTAGGCTTGTTTAGAGTATCTATTTATTACCTCTTAAGAGTTCTTTTGTAATTTGTCTTATAGGTATTTTGTTCATTTCATCCAAATGTCAAAGTTTTAGGCGTAAGGTTTTTTATAACTGTATCCTTTTAATATCTGTAGAATCTGTAATATCACCTCTCTTGTTCCAGATATTGGTGCTTTGTACCTTCTGGTCAGTTTGGCTAGAGATTTATCAATTTTCTTTATCTTCTAAAAAAAAATAAGTTTTGGTCTTATTAATTTCTCTATTGTTTTCCTGTTATCTATTTCATTGATTTCCTTTCTGGTCTTTATTAGTTCCTGTATTGACTTTGCATTTAACTTGTTCTTTTTTTTTTTTTTTTTTTACAACCAAATGCACATTTATTTAACAGTATCATTGGCGGAAAAAGCATAAGGTTATTTCTATCAATAAGGTTTGATGTCTGGAAAATACTGTCTTGTCTTTGTTTGAGCACTCTGACTTTGACATTCTTTATTTCTTCAATGAGTCTTTCTTGCCTACCTTCAGAATCCCACAATTGAATGGTCAGATTTGTCTCCCCGTCTTCATCTGTCACCAGGTTTATGGTAAAGTTGGTAACATCTGATAAAGTCTTAGTCACATTCACCACTTGGAGCATTTTAGGATCTTCTAGTTGTACAAAGAGGTAGCTGGAGTTTGGCTGTTGACCTCTGTAACTTGACCTTACAACGACAGTTTCTTCAGTCTTTGTGAAAAATAGTATTTCAGTCTTTTCTATGTTCAGAAAACTGAGAAACGATTTCCTTGCCTCCCCAAGAGTCACAGACGACAAAAGCAGGACCATAAAAAGTTTTCTAATCATTTTGAAGCCTTAAATACATTACATATGCAAAACCATTTAAATAAACTAAAGAATGTTCTTCATACAGGTGTTCCAGTGATGGTCTGAGGTTGTTAGGTAACAGTTGTTTCTGCTAGATCAAAGTCCAGTAGGAGGGACTCTTGTACTTTTCAAACAAATACAGAGCTATCTAATGAGTGACATAACGGTTTAACCTACAGTTACGAAATGTCAAAGTCATAGCATTTAACAGGTTCAGTTTATCACAGCAGAAACCTAATCTTTACTCCTGACTTCATTTCTGCCACTGGAAAAACAGCCTCCTACTTATTTGATTTTAAAACCTTAGTGTCATCTTTTTTTGAGTTCTGTTCCTTCCTAAGGAAAATCTACACTAAAAGCAGACAGGATCCAAAAATTTTAAATAGATGTTGAGGAGGCCTAGAGGTGGGTGTTACTATTTTATTCATTCAGGTCAGAATCAAGTAAAAATTTACTGAATATGTGTTCTAGGGCCCTGAGCTAGGAGCTGAGTATACCACAGTAATCAAGCTAGGTGACTCGTCCCTCCTGGAGCTTAGCCTTGGTGGCTCTTCATCATTACTTAGGAAACTGCAGAGCCCATACATTGGCCTTGCAGCATCCTTAGGCTAGTTAGGGTTTTCCCATGACTCTAAACAGTGATGGTATCAGTTAGGCAAAAACTGAAACGGTTTGTGGTGTCCTTAGGTAGAAAAAAAAATTCCTGGATGGTTACCAGATAGCTTGGCAACCTAGGGAGAGCACATAGCCAGATCCATGGCCAAAGGTACAGCCTGGTTAAGGGACCACTGCTGCTGGACACTTGGACCCTGACACAATGGGGCAATCGAAGCCCACTGACTAATTCTAATCTTTTATTCCTTCCTAGTAACACGACTCCTTACTCACAGCTATGGCAAGGATATTCAATTGACCCAACTTAGGTCATATGCCTGTCTTGGAATAAGGAAGGAATAAGGAAAAGAGTCAGGCTTTTTGAACTTCAACCCACAGATTCACAAATGCTTTCTGTTTCCCAAACAAGAGGAGGGGCTTCTGATGCTAAGCAGAAAAAGAAAAAAAAGAAAAAAAAAAAAGAACAACAAAGAAACCCCACTACAGTTATCTACTACTGAGCCTACAGATCTAGTAGTCTCTGATCATATAATCATTTCAGCAGATCCTTCCTGTAATCATGACACAATCTGTGTCAGATGCAACAATGACAGTTACACATTAAGTATTTTAGATCATAAAATGTTTGCTCTTCAAAAATTGTCAAAGCAATTTTTATTGGATATTTTTATAGGTTTTTGAAATTTTGACTTATGTAGGTTAATCTTTCAAATACAATAGACTTTATAGTCCATCAATTTTATTTCCATGTACCACACTGAGAAAAACAAAATACACTATACCAATGTTGAAAAAGGGACTGGAACTAATGCTTCTGTGATATTTCAGTTAAGTTCCCAGAGAACTTCCCTGGTTTAAAAAGACAAAAAATAAACATAAGACAAGAACTTTATGAAACCAAAGCTATCTTTATAGTTATGTGACCAAATATCTTAATTCACAATTTTTGTCGCCCAGGTCAAAGAGGTGAGGAATGTAAATTTTACTTTCCTCAGATCCTTCCATCTGTAGCCTTTACCCTTCTTCAGGTTCTCCAAGGCTTCTTATCTGAAAACTGCCTGGAATAAAATCTGACAAATCTGGGAAAAATCTAGTAATTTATTATTCATGTGTATTTACTGGCTGATTATATGAAGCTTAAGCTCATTTGTATCATACTGTAGTTAGATATTTATCTGAATTTAAAACATTTTTCTACTTGTGGGTTTTCTGCTTGTAATTCTAGTCGCCTGTGAGCAGGTAGAAAGATTCTAAGGAGGGGTGGGGACAGCCAACCCTAGAATTATATTAAGCGGACTCAACTGAAAGCCCTAAAAGAAAGCCTGAGAAAGATGTCTGATTTCAGAGTAATTTGGAAACGAGACACTGGGGGTACTTCCTCTCGTGCCCACAATCTTGTTCTCTTTAGGAGACTTCTCAGGCCGGATCTCCCGTCCATAGAGCCTCCAAGAATGCTAGCACCTGTGTCTCTTACAGACTAGTTTGCTCCACTATCTGGGACCACATGACATAAGTCCTTCCCTCCATGCTGCTTTGTCTCTTTTCTAATCGTTGACAGGACCTCTTCTTTAGTCTCAAGTGTAGCTCAATCTCTGTTCGCCTTACTTCCCTTCTTTTCAACCCGCATTGGTATTTTTTCCGGTATATTTAGCTTCAGTTCAATTCATGAGACATGTGTTGGTCATCTACCCTGTGCAAGTAATTATGCAGATGCTAAGGTATTTGTATTAAAACTTTCTGGTATCTGGGAATATATTTAAATATTATTTCTACTTCTGGTCTTATGGTTTCTGATAAAAGAGCTATTAGAACATAGCTATACTTACTATATATTCTTTGGCACTTGCCACGCTGCTTTGTATTATAGTTTTAAGTACGTATACATCTCTTCATTGTATCCACCACGGCAGTTAGAATCAAATCCTTACATTTAGTAGGTACTTGAATACTAGGTTAATAAATGAATGTATAAGCAGCTGATAGAAGTCAGAAGTTATCTCCATTCACTGCATGAAAATAATATGAAGAAAGAATTAGAGATGAAATAAACACTGTGAGTTTATTCCTTTAATTAAACCTAAAGCCACTATCCCTGTCTATCGCAAAGTAGGAAAGGGACAAATAACAAACAGAAATAACTTCTATTTCTTCTCTATAGTAGTACTTTGCTGAGTATAGATAGAATACATCAGTCAGGAGCATTAATTTTAATGTGTTGGTAAAATGTAGTTACTTTTGGCATGTGTTTTGCTTTGGTATATATATAAAGGACTTGTAATGTAGTTTAGCTATCCCATCTTTCTTCTTATCTGTACTATATGATACAGATAAAATGGTGAATCCTACTGGAGGGAGTTTTTTAATCAGAGATATGCCCCAAAGCACTTAGGTGACAACAAGAAAATAATTTTCCCTTCCTAGGCCTGAGACTCCTCATCCACAAACTTTGAAGAGTGAGTGAGATGACCTCTAAGTTTCTATGGTTCATGTATACACATCAATTTATACATCATGATGTAGGTGGATACTAAGGCTCCATGATGGTAGGCTTGGTCATGTGTCTTGCGTAAAGCAAAAGTGAGACATGTTATCTTCTAAGAGCCATCTCTTTCTTCTGCCATAAGAATGGCAATGTCCCCAAAAAGGGTCATTCCTTCATATTAGATTCTGGAGTAAAGACAACATGGAGCAGAGTCACAGCCAATCAAAGCCGACATTAGCCAAATGAGAAATATATCTTTGTTGTTGTTATTATAGCATAACCTAATAAAAGTTAATTAGATAAGAGAATTTGCTAAATGTCAGTTCATAGTTAAACCTGAAAACACAAAAATTCAAATCCAATTTAATAGAAGACTGATAATGTAAATTATGACATAATATGAAATAAAAAGCAAGTTTTAAAAATAAAAAATACATAGTATTTGTAGTAAAAGAATTTGATTAACAATGAATTTTCCTCGTGATTTCTAGCTTGACTCCCTGAATGACTATTCCAAGTAAGAATCAACATTGTTTAAAAACTGTTCTTCATCATTCAGATATTCCAAGATAATACTTCCACCATTGTATAAAGGACAATCCTCCTTAGCAATCCAGGTTTCCAAAATATGATCCAAGGGTAAGGCTTCTCCTGAAGTACTATGACATAATCTCAATTTCTTAGGTGTTAATTTGTTATTGTCATTTTTAAGACTGGCTAAAGAAGCTGCAAAGTCTATGACCCTTCCAATGCTCCACTGCTGGCGAAAGAACATTGGCTTACTCTTCTCTTTGCTCCCCTTAGGTAAGAAAACCTGAAAGTAAATTCTTTCCGTCTGTGGCAATGATTTATCTCCATTAGCATGCATCTTTAATTTCATCAATGCTAACTTTGCAGCTGTTTCACTATTTTTTGCACCTTTCCGTCGTTTACTTGCTGTCTCTCCTCTCTTGGAATCAATAATGTCTTTAACAAGTTTCTGAGTGGCAGCCATACGAGACTTAGGGATTTCCAGTTCTTCACATTTATGATCTGACTGATGACGATGTCTCAGGCAAAAATTCTTCTCACAATAAGGACACATAACTGGCACAAGCTCTCTTTCAGCACAGTCCTTGAATGAGCATGGGTAAGATGTATGTGTATCTGACTTCAGTCTCTCAATTACAGTAACCTCAGGATAGCTATGTGACTCCCTGCTCCTGTGTTCAAGGCAAAATATTCCTGAACAACCATCACATACAAATGGAAGAAAATCTCGCTGCCGGCACTGTTCCACCCGGCAGTGCCGCCCAATGTCCAACTCCGCCATCTCCCAGCGCCGCGAGCTAACTTGTTCTTTATTTTTCAGTTTCTTATGGTAGAAAGAAAGAAACTGAAAAATAAAGTTTTTTTTATATAAAAATAAAAAAAACTTGAAGTCACTGATTCGAGACCTTTCTTCTTTTTAATACAGGCATGTTATAAGCACTGCTTTAGTAGCATCCTACAAATTCTGATGTTTTGTTTTTCATTCAGTTCAAAATACTTTCTTATTTTCCTTTTGATTTTGTTTTTGACCTATGGGTTATTTGAGCTGTGTTATTTGGTTTTCACACATTTGGAAATTTTCCAGATATCTTTGTTATTGATTTCTGATTTAATTCCATTGTGATCAGAGAACATTTTTTTTTTTTTTGCTGTACGCGGGCCTCTCACTGTTGTGGCCTCTCCCGTTGTGGAGCACAGGCTCCGGACGCGCAGGCTCAGCGGCCATGGCTCACGGGCCCAGCTGCTCCGCGGCATGTGGGATCTTCCCGGACCGGGGCACGAACCCGCATCCCCTGCATCGGCAGGCGGACTCTCAACCACTGCGCCACAAGGGAAGCCCCAGAGAACATATTTTGTATGACTTGAATCTTTTAAAAATTATTGAAACTTTTTTCATGGCTCAGGATCTGGTCTATCGTGATAAATGTTCCATGTGAACTTTGAAAGAATGTGTAGCCTACTGTTATTGGCAAGAGGTTCTATAAATTTTAATTAGGTCAAGTTTGTTTATAGTGTTGTTTGAGTCTGCAATACTCTTGATTTTCTATTTGTTCTATTAATTATTGAGAGCATAATTGAGAGCATATTAATTATTCTGAGCATAATTGTGGATTTGTGTATTTTTCCTTGCAGTTCTATCAGTTTTTGTTTCAGGCATTTTGATACTCTATTTTTGTGATTAATTATTTGAGATTTTTAAGTGCTGTTGATGAATTTACCCCATTATCACTAAGAAATAACCTTCTTTATCTCAGATAATATTCTTCACTGTGAAATCTATTTGCACTGTTATTCATGTATCCATTCCAGCTATCCTTTGATTAGTATGGGCATAATATATCATTTTCAATCTTCTTTTAGCCTATTAGCGTTTATATTTAAAGTGTGTTTCTTGTAGGCAGTATTTAATTGGTTTTTGCTTTTTGTATCAGATCTGATCATCTTTTCCTTTTAATTGCAATGTTTATCCTATTTATATTTAGTGAGATTATTAATATAGTTAGCTGTAAATCATCACCTTGTTACTTGTTTTCTTTTTCTCTTATCTATTTTTGTTCCCTTTGATCTCTTTTCCTGCCTTCTTTTAGATCAATTGAATATTTTCTATGATTCCACTTTATTTTTTTTCTTGGCTTTTTTATTGTTGTTTCTATTTTGGAGGCTGCTCTAGGGCTCATGGTGTAAGTCATTATCATATTCTACCTTTGACATGATATCACTTCACATATAAGACATTTACAATAGCATACTTCCATTTCTCTTTACCTGGTCTTTGCATTATTGCTGGCATACATTTTGCCTCTACACAACTTATGAATTCCACAATACTTCTTTATTTTTGTTTAAACAGTGAATTATCTTTTAAAGAGATTGAAATAATTTTTTAAAAATCACACATATTTCTCCGTGGGTCTTGAACTCCATCTCCTCATTTCTGGTGTTCTTTATTGTTTTGCATAAATCATTATTTTCACTTGTTATCATTTTCCTTTATCCTGAAGGACTTCTATAACATGTGTGCAGGTGCTCTGGGTGATGAATTCTTTCTTTTTTTTTTTTTAATGTCTGAAAACTTCTTTATTTCACCTTCATGTTGTCTTACTGGCCACTGTCCCTCTAATCCCTTCAGATGGTTCTTTCCCTGGACTAGGATAGTTTCTTCCCATACATGTGCTCTCAGTATTCTGCTGAATACTAGAGGGAACCCTCTGCATATCAACTCTGTCCAGCTTTCTCCTCTCCAGTACTCTGTCCTGCACATTCTAGTTGTCTTGTACCTTCAGCTTTGTCTCCTCAACCCAAGAGAGTCTGATGGGTTTTCTATGGATCTCACATCCTGCCCCACCCTACCCACACCATCAGTTGAAAACTCTCTCAAGGCAATAAACTGCTCACCTAGTTTGTTTCCCATCTCTCTGAGATGATTGTCCTTCATTACCTGGTATCCAGTGTCTTAAAAACCTTTTTTTTTTTCCTTCATATATTTTTTTCTTTTTCTCTTGGGTGTTTCAAGTTGAGGTTAAATCCAGTCTCTGTTACTCCATCCTGCCTGGAAGTGAAAGTCCCTTCACTGACTGTTCTTTTAATGCCAGTTTTTTGTATTCCATTTTTCATATTAAAAAAAAATTGTCTTTATTTCACCATTGCCTCAGAAGTTTTTACTTCTTATAGTTCTTCAGTATTATTTTCTTTTTCTAGTCTAGCAAATTTTCATCTCCCCTGATAAGCTGGAGTATGGAGATCCTTGTACCTCTTCATCAAAGAATAGACAGTTGATTCTGTGAATTTTCTCTGATACTCACTTAAGCAATTCTCTATTTTCATATCTCTCTTGTAGAGTATAAAACATTTGTCTTTGTCCTATAGGAGCATACGCTGAGAGCTTTCACAAGTTGTAAAGTAGAAATGTAAACGTTTTGTTTTGTTTTACCTATGTCAGTAGACTTGAGCTTTGTTCATTAAAGCTCTTATTTACAAGTAAATTATTTTGCTAATTAATAGCAGCCTGCTAGCTCCCTCAGCCTCACACCAGACTTCTCCCAACTCCCAGGAAATTGTGAAAAGATTATTGTGAAAGAATTTATGAAAATTCCTCACTCACTGCTATCGCTTTATCTGTTATTGGCCTATTTTCTGCTTCTGACTGCATTGAGTTTTTGGGTATATTTGACATTAATCTTGCTAGAAGCAGACTGCTGGAACAAATGAAATCGGTCTTGTATAGTTTTATAAATCTAAATTTTAGTAACCTTCATTATCTCCTTTCCTTTGTTAAGAAATGGGTAGTGGTTAAATTGTGGATGTGATGGCACTATCAAGAGTGGCAGGATGGCTATTTCTCTATTCAGTAAGGTGGCATTTTGTTATGATTATGACATTGTGATTGTGTATATCCTATAGAATCATAGCATGTTGAAGACTGTTTCCAGGCATCAAAATCAGACCTCAAGTAGAAAAGAAATATGTTTTAGAAATAATATCCTAATTACTAATTTACAGTAGGTTAATTTCTTCTAGTTTAAAGCATTTCTTGATATATAAATCCAATTATGCTTTCTTCACTATATCTACTGTTGTGATATTTGATCATAAGTATGCTTTTATAAAGTTCATAGTGTTTTTTTTTTTTTTTTTTTTTTTTTGCGGTACGCGGGCCTCTCACTGTTGTGGCCTCTCCCGTTGCTGAGCACAGGCTCCGGACGCGCATGCTCAGCGGCCATGGCTCACGGGCCCAGCCGCTCTGCGGCATGTGGGATCTTCCCGGACCGGGGCACGAACCCGAGTCCCCTGCATCGGCAGGCGGACTCTCAACCACTGCGCCACCAGGGAAGCCCGTTCATAGTGTTTTGAGTGAATTATAATAACAATCACTTAGTGAAAAGCTTAACTTGGTACTATATAGTAAATATTATACTAGTCATTCATTTTTCACTTCCTACTGAGTTTGCTTTCTTATGGGATTATTGTATTAAATGTTTACATATTTTCTTTTTAAAAATTATGATCAGTCATGTTTATGGATGTATCTCTTAATGATTTATGCTTAGTATTACTAAAAGAAAAATGTAGGTGCATTTCTCCTAAATATAAATATATTTTTTCTGTGAAACTGCAATTCAAAGCAGTATTAAAAAAATCTAGGGGCTTCCCTGGTGGCGCAGTGGTTGAGAGTCCGCCTGCCGATGCAGGGGACACGGGTTCGTGCCCCGATCCGGGAAGATCCCACATGCCGTGGAGCAGCTGGGCCCATGAGCCATGGCTGCTGAGCCTGTGCATCCAGAGCCTGTGGTCTGCAACGGGAGAGGCCACAACAGTGAGAGGCCTGCGTACCGCGAAAAAAAAAAAAAAATCTAGTCAGCATTAAATTTTTTCTTAAGATATAATTTGTGTTTTTTTAAAGTATTTATTTATTTATTTTTGTTTGGTTGTGCCAGGTCTTGGTTGCTGCAGGGAAGCTCCTTAGTTGTGGCTTGCCAGCTCCTTAGTTGCATCACGTGGGCTGCTTAGTTGCAGCAGGCGGACTCCGTAGCTGTGGCATGCGAACTCTTAGTTGACGCATGCATGTGGGATCTAGTTCCCTGACCAGGGATCAAACCCGGGCCCCCTGCACTGGGAGCAGAATCTTATCCACTGTGCCACCGGGGAAGTCCCTATAATTTGTGATTTTTAATTATACATTTTCTAGAGCATTTAAAGTGAAGAATACTAGGAAGCTCACTTAGATTGCTTCATTGCTTTTCCGCATTTATTTAGTTAATATAAGATCTAGTGGTGTTAATAAATGTTTAATGTTGGGATTTTTTGTTTTTCAATGCCTCGGTTCTTGCTTTGTTCTCATTAGTAGCACCTACCATCCGTGCCTTTTTTTTTTTTTACATCTTTATTGGAGTATAATTGCTTTACAATGGTGTGTTAGTTTCTGCTTCATAACAAAGTGAATAGTTATACATATACATATGTTCCCATATCTCTTCCCTCTTGCATCTCCCTCCCTCCCACCCTCTCTATCCCACCCATCTAGGTTATCACAAAGCACTGAGCTGATCTCCTTGTGCTATGTGACTGCTTCCCACTAGCTATCTATTTTACGTTTATTAGTGTATATATGTCCATTCCTCTCTCTTGCTTTGTCACATCTTACCCTTCCCCCTCCCCATATCCTCAAGTCCATTCTCTAGTAGGTCTGTGTCTTTATTCCTGTCTTACCCCTAGGTTCTTCATGACATTTTCTTTTTTATAGATTCCATATATTTGTGTTAGCATATGGTATTTGTCTTTCTCTTTCTGACTT